ACACACACACACACACACACACACACACACACACACACACTCGCACACACACACACACATGCGCACTAACACACAAACAAGCGCTGTGCATAACTTTGGTATAAGACACGGGGGTTATGGTGACTCTGCCCTGGGTCAAATATGCTGATAAATTTGTGTGTTTTTTTCCTCTCTTTGGTAGGTCAGCAAAAATCCCACCTGACTGTTTTGTTTTGACTGAGCGTTTTGTTTTGACTGACCGTCCTTCTTTTAACTGACCGTTTTGGTTTGACAAACTGGCAAGCCGGACATTATGGCGTCGGTGGCCTATATCTAGTTGTTAGGCTCTCGGACTCTCAACCGTAAGGTACTGGGTTCGAATCCAGACACGGACTCGACGTTGTGTCCTTTAGAAAGGCATGTTAGATACAATTACCTCACTTCACCCACGTGGGAATGCGTACCCGGCTATAGACAGCGAAATACCTTATGAGTTTGTTAGTGTTTGAGCGCGTGCAATCCGCAGTTTGCAATGTATGTTTCCCAGGAAACCGAGAATGTTTCTAAGTCTAAGTAGTTTATGGTCTGCTGGGATAAAAATGGTTGTACAGGGTACATGGTATGCTGTTGAAACTGGATGTGCGCTAGGCCTATATAAATGCAATACATTATTATTATTATTAATATTTTTATTATTGTTAATATTTTTATATGTATTTATTATTATTATTATTATTATTATTATTATTATTATTATTATTATTATTATTATTATTATTATTATTATTATTATTATTATTATCATTATCTTCCACCACTTAGGTCGTATCGTCAACCGCTTCTCACGTGATGTGGACGTGTTGGATTCCGATCTACCGAACACAATACGTGCAGCCATTCGAAGCACTGGGCTAGTGATGGTGGCACTGATCAACATAGCCTACAGCACGCCTATTGTGCTCAGCGTCATCTTCCCTATTATTACTCTTTACGTGCTTATACAGGTGGGTTAGTTTTAATTCTAGTTAGTTTTAGTTAGAGTTTTACGGCACTTGCAACCCCATAAGGTCATATAAGTGTCGAGGATCAGTGGTGTTACAAGGGAGTAGATCTAACAAACACCAAAATAAAAAAGAAGGAGGAGAGATCAGGACGATAGATGTTTAATAGGAAAGAAGGAGCAAACCACACCAGAGCACCCGCCAACCACCCACAGTAAGAGCTTTGCGGCATTTGCAACCCTGTAAGTTAGGTCATATACGTGCCGAAGATCAGAGGTGTTACGAGAGAGTAACAAACACGAAAAGGAGAGATAAAGACGGTGGGTGTGTAAGTAATAGGAAAGCAGGAGCAAACCACACATCCAGAGCACCCACCAACCACCTACAAGTTTTAGTTTTGTTTTGCAGGTTTCACACCGCTCTTAACTACATAAGTTAATTTGAACGCGCTAGGTGGTTTATAATGAATGCAAACGTTATGATTCAACATTAACTAAGTTCTTGAACTTAGGTTGTCTTGGGGGAATTGTGAGACTCTCTTCACATTTCCCGCAATCCTGTCGGGAATGGGCTTTCGTTAGGAGATGACTATACCACTTCTTGGTAAACCGGACAACACAAATGTGTATGTGTTTGTTTATGTGTGTGTGTGTGTGCGTGTGTGTGTGTGTGTGTGTGTGTGTGTGTGTGTGTGTGTGTGTGTGTGTTTGTGTGTATGTTTGTTTGTGTGTAAGTGTGTGTGTTGAGAGAGAGAGAGAGAGAGAGAGAGAGAGAGAGAGAGAGAGAGAGAGAGAGAGAATAAATATTTTGTGTATGTGTTCTTCAGTGTGTTTCTGTGTGTGTATTCCTGTGTGTGTCTGCGCGCACGCGTGGACGCATCGCCATTAGGGATTTCATAAGTTTGAAAGGGTGCTCTCGTGGTTTAGAGGTTACGGTATTCACCTCTCATTCAATATGTCCCGCTGTCGAATCCTGAAAGTGACGGAAAATGTTCTTCTCTAAAAATGTCTCGTTTCACCTCATTTCCTGTGCTCTCCAACCATGTTCTGTTGTCTGTGTTTGTCTCTACCTTCTGCCCCCTCCCCTTTGCCTCATCCTCTGGGCTCATGAATTTTTTTTCTGTCTTTTTACTGCTATTCCTTGGCTTCTTCTTACTGCTCTCTTTCAGCCACATCCCTGATCTTATGGTAGGTGAGATCTATAAAACCTAGCCTTCTCAGATAAGGGCAAAAAATCTCAGAGGTCCCGTGTGCAAGTTGCTCACGTTAAAGATCCCTTGGTGGTCCTAAAAATCGATACGAGTACGCTTCGGCCGCCACCCGGACAAAATTCAAAATTCCTACCAAGCTGAAAATATTTTTAATGTGACCCTATGCAGTTACGAGCGCCGAAAAGCAATTCCCCCAAAAATGTATATGAATTGCTAAGTAGTTGTAGTATAACACTCCAACAACATTGTACTTCCTAACGGGACAATAAAGCATCCACTTCTACAGTTTTCAAATAGTTCGATAATACTCAAAGACAGAAATCGACTGTAGCCTCCGGTTGGGAGTTATGGAGAGCTCTTAGAAATTCTCCATGCAGGTTTGTTACTCTCGTGTAACACCTATTAGATCTAGACGTCTATATAGTACTATTCGGCACTTTTATGACTTAATTATTGTGTTGCAAGTGCGGTAAAAAAATCTTACCGAAACTAAAACAGAAACATCTTTTTGGAATTCAAAGTTCTCTTCAGAGTTTGCATCAATCACGTCAGAGCATGAGTTTTAAAAATCAGCATTTTAGTCAATGTCACCTGAAAAGCAATTCGAAATAAACCGAGAAGAACTGCGCCAAAGGTATGAATTGGTTTCCACCTTGCTCCTCAATTGGTGTACACGCCTGGATCATGTCAAATTGAAGTACGCAAGTGGGTGGTTGATGGGTGCCCTGGTGTGGGTTTTCTCCTTCCTTTTTATCAAACATCTATCGTCCTAATCCTCCTCCTTTTTGTGTTTGTTCCTATCATGTTACATGTAACACCTTTAATCTTCGGCATTTATATGACCTAATTGCGCTGCAAGTGCCGGAAGGTTCTTACTAAAAAAAGAAGAACGTAAAACAGTCAATACAGCTGATACGGATAAATGATAAATACGTGCACTTTCAATGCTTTCATCTGTTAATCTTTCTTTACATTTGCTCTGACCGCAGCGGGTGTACATGCCCGCCTCACGCCAGATTCGACGCATCGACTCCACCACCCGTTCACCTATCTACGTCCACTTCTCTGAGACTCTCAGTGGTGCAGCCAGCATCCGTGCGTATGGTGCACAGCAGAGGTTTATGGACCACTCAGAGACTTTGGTGGACTACAACTTCAAGTTTTACTTTGCCAGTATTGCCACTTCCACGTATGTTTAGCTGGAATTAGATGTTACTGTTGCTTGCTGATGGTGATGGTGGTGGTGGTTGTGATGGTGGTGTTGTAGTTGTTATTGTTGTGTTTGTCGCTGTGTTTGTTGTTGTGTTTGTTGTTCTTGTTATGGTGGTGCTGATGGTGTTTTGAAATTTTATTGTTGTTGATGGTGGTGGTTGTGGTAGTGATGGCAATGATGGTGTTAGTGGTGAGGGTGGTTGTGTTTGCTGTTGTTCTCCTTCTCGTCCTTCTCCTCCCCCTCCCCCTTCTCCTCCTCCTAACTCAATCATTCTCGCCAAAGATCGTATTCTCTTTGTGCAGGCTAGTTGTTCTGTTTGTAACTCTGTAACTCACTACAAGGGTGGGGTGTTTTGTGTGTGTGTGTGGGGGGGGGGGGGGAGATTTATAGCCTAACCGTAAACAGCCCAGATTTAGATCTAGTTGTCATTGCCAATGGGCCAAGAACCAAGATAACAGCTTTTTCGCCTTTTTGAGTATGAGGAGAATATTATAACATCACGATGCAACCCAATTAAACCTTTCTGTGATGAAGCGTTTCCATTTACGGTCGTACAGTCCAGAAATGTTCACCACAGAGAGATTAAAACGAAGCCATTAATTAATTAATTACTATGTATATTCCCCATTTTAAAGAATAGGCAACTGCACATGTTGCGAATACAGTACACTTAACAAATTCTCTAAAAACGAGGCAATTTAATGGCATTGAATCAGATTGGGAAAACACATGTGAATATTATACATGTGTCTCTAGCCATTCACGTTTCATTTTTATTGTGACCGTTAGTGAGTTTTTATTGCAATCTACATTTTTAGTGAACGCATTGCCAGGCTCACTGCGTGACTAATTTTCTCATAGAATTTTTTAAATATATCTATACTACATATGTTAAATACATTGTGTAATTATGTTTTACGCACACACATGTCCATAAATTTAAAAAATGTGATATCTTTATGAATTATTGTAATACTCGTTGAGGATTTTTTTTTAATGAAAATGAAAATGCACAACCCAAATGCTATTTACTATTATCTACAAAACAGTGAAGAGTTGAACAATCATCAATTTAGTTTTCTATTTCTGCATGTCTGATTCCTGCCCCAGCTGGCTCCAGGTGCGTCTCGAGTTCCTGGGTAATCTGATCGTCCTGGCGGCCGCCATATTTGCTGTGTCTGACAGTAGTCTCTCCGCCGGCCTGGCTGGACTGTCAGTCTCTTATGCCACACAGGTAGGACTTCATGACATGTGCCTCTCTGTCATCATCTTTGCCTTTTCACCCTGGATCAGGATATAGGCCACGAACAAACACTTTTCACCTTTCCCTATCCTGGGCGAGTCGCTTGGTGTCACTCCATGTCTTCCCACTTTTCTATACATCCATTTCCGTGACTCTTCTCCTGGTTCCAAGTGGTATTCCCCTTGGTCTTTTACTCTGTGGGTTCCAATCTAACACTTTCCTTGTTATGCAGCTGCTTGACTTCCTGAAAGTGTGCCCAATCCATCGCCAACGCCTTCTTCTAAAGTCATCTCTGACTAGGCTATGTCTCGTTCTTCTTAATGCTTCCTCGTTGGTGATCCTGTGTCCATCTGATCCTCAGTAGCTTCTTTATATACTTGTTCAAGAAAACCTGGATCCTTTTTATGCACGTCAGAGATGCGTTCCATGTCTCACATCCATACAACAGATTTGACTTCACATTTGAGTTGAAAATCATCAGCTTTGTTCGTAGTGAGATATCCCTTGTCCTCCAAATCCTATTAAAAGAAATATATGCAGTCTGTTCATTTCCAATGTGGGACTTTATTTCACGGTTGTTCCTCCCTCTCTGTCAATTATACTCCCAAGGTAGCAATAGTACCTCCGATTTGAATCTTTTCATGCCTTTTCTAACGTTCAGAATTTGAATTTGGAAAAAATATTTCTTGAGCACATGCAACTGTTATCGCAACTTAATTGACAGGGTTGAAAAAAACTATCGCTTTAGGCCTAGTACTTCTGAACAGATGATCGACGATTACATGATGTGTTTGCGTCGAAAAGTATGGACTTATGTGTGCGTCATGTATGTGCGTGAGAGCATGATATTATCATATGACCCAGTCTCAAAAAGTGATCTTTAAAATTTTGAAAACAACCAAAATATACAGACTGTGCATTCGTGCACATAATACATGCTTTTTAAAATTTAAATGCTACTCATCGTGTATATTTTATTTTTCTAATATTCAAAATGAGAAGATACGAGACCCAACATTTTTTCCACAAAAGTACATAGTATTAATTTTAAAGCTACTCTATACTATATATGATTTCTATACTATATTATTATATGGTTTCTATACTCAAAATGCTGCTGAGAAATTTAAGCGTCCCACTGAGTCTGGTTTTGCAACTGCCGGCATTATTTCATCTTTTTTTTTTAATTCTTAATTCCAGGTGACTGCCTCCTTAGGTTTCCTCACCCAAGTTGTGACTCAGATAGAGACGAATGCGGTCTCTGTAGAAAGGATTATCGAGTACACAGAAACAGACGCTGAGGTGGGAATCATTTTTGAAAATATTATGAGGATAATATTTCCAGTTAAATGAAATAAAATTGGTAACTTCTAAACGCACTTCTGTGCCACCGTGCTCTGATGACGTGTGCCGAATCTTTGTACAGTCGGGCATGGATTATAACTCAAATCGCTACCTCAGAACTCGGAATTACTGTCTGCTCAGTACGGTAGCCTACCTAGTTTAAAGAATTTTGACGTAAAAATTTTTGACTTTCACAACATGTCAAACTTCTTCGAATGCTATCCTTTCAATATCTTGTTAATGACTCAGAATAATCTTATGGTTTTGAAAGAGCAGAGAGAATATTTGGTTTTTGATATCATGGTCTTAGTAACTCAAAATGTCAGATAGACCTTTGTAATTCTGGGGTAGCAAAATGTGTTCGACACATCCATGATTCGGGTAGAGTGAATTTCGAGTTGCTCGTATTTGCGTGTTATCTGTGCCTGACTGTATAAATATATTATTTTCTAGCAATCTGTAGGGCTGGGGGAGGTATGCTTTTTGGAGGTTAGAAGGTTTGTATTCAAATGTAACCTTCCTGATAAATTTAATAAATTCTCTTCTTATAACATTTCCAGTATACTTTGGTCGTGTGTCTGTGGATATTTTGAGTGAATGGACTTGATTATGTCTTTTATAACAACACAACAGGTAAAAGAGACGAATCAACCTCCAGACACAGTGACTCTTGTGACCGAATCACAAAAAACAGTGCAGGAATGCGTTGGTGTTATCCATGCAATGGTTCTTGTGATTCCTATCTGCTCGTAACATTTGAAAGAATAATAGGGGGTACCCTTTAGTGCGATCGGGTCGGGTCAGGTCGGGTCGCGTCGCGTCGTCGGGTCGGGTCGTTTACTGATGGTTTCAATACACACTACAACCCCGCCGCGATTGTACCCGACGACCTGGAAGTTAAAGTAAAGTAGGGCTTCTTTCCGCAGTTCCTTGTCGTGGTGCTGTGGCAGCTTGGGATCCCATAAACATGGGTTACATCGATAACTTTCTATTATCAAAGATCGTTCATAACAAGATAGTTCACTCGACCAAAAAAGTGTCCGCGGAAGTTCTCGCATTGATTCAGATGACGCGGCAGTCTTTGTTTGGAAGCTCTCTTTCGTTTCTCCAGAAGAAGAAAAGGAATAGCAGTTTGTTAGTTTCACCTTCATTTTTTTCACACAAGTCGGGTAACTCTGTTCGCACAGTCCTCACTTTTTCGAAAAGGGCACCACCGGATTGAGAGAGACAGTATGGACACATGACTCAGCTTTGTTGATTTGTTGTGATTGGCTGCAAACCACCTGATCGCGCGACTTGCGTGCCTGAAAACAGACACGTTAATTGTTTTTTGCAGGTCATTGACCGAGTCGATCTGTTTGGGTCACGATAGTCGCTTTGCGCCCTCAATATGGTTGGCCCCGACTATCAAATCGACCCGACCCGACCCGATCGCGCTAGTGGGCACCCTCTATGAGCATTATCATTGAATATAAATTTTTGTTTCAGTAAATATGTCTGTCTTAGTGATAGATATTAACATCAGTGTGACTTAGCTTTGAAGTGCTGCTGCCGATATCATTTGTTGATCCTCTCATCTCCCCACCAGGCGGCGTGGTACAACCTAGACAACCGCCCCGCCCCGGAGTGGCCCGAGGAAGGAAACCTTGAGTTTGATGACTTACAGATCCGCTACCGCCCGGGGCTGGAACTGGTTCTCAAGGGTGTCTCTTGTCAGCTCAAGCCAGGAGAAAAAGCACGTTGAAATTGTTACTTTGTTTAAGATTGTTTAGTTTTAGTAAGAGTTTTACGGCACTTGCAACACAATAAGGTCATAGAAGTGCCGAAGATTAGAGATGTTACAAGAGAGTAACAAACACAAAAATGAAGGAGTGATAAGGGCGATAGATGTTTGATAGGAAAGAAGGAGCAGACCACACCAGAGCACCCGCTAACCAAACACTCGTTTAAGTTTAAAAGAGACATAATAATAATTGACACAATAGTGGCTGAAAATTATTCACTTTATTACTTTTATTATATTTTATTCCGAGATCAAGCCGGAAGAAAAAGTACGCTGAAATTGTTATTTTTGTTCAAGTTTAAGAGACACATATTAACATGATATACGGCTGAAGAGTATGCAGTTTATCACTTTTATTACATCTTGTTCCCCAGTGGAAGTGAGGATTTTAATTGCTCAAAAAGTGGCGAACTCTTCTCTTCCAGAATTGGTCTCGAGTCATTAGCCACAGCAGAAGCCACAAGTCATCTAAACTAATTCTAGTATCCAATATTATGTATTATGTGTGGACTTTACTGATCAAAAGGCACAATAAAACCTCAAACAAATTTGCAGTTTCCAAGGACACTGAAGCTGTGAAAGTCACCAAACTTTGGCGGTCAATTTTCTCCGTAATATTACCTCTGGAATCATGCACCCCCTCCCCCCC